CCGAGAAAGTGCGGCGGCGGACGCTGCTGCGCATAGAGAAGAGAGAATCATCTCGAACGAGTCGAGGCACATCCCAATGGAACGAGCTGCGAAAGAAGCCAGGCACTCCTCCAGCTCGTGGTCGCCCATTCTTCTAGCGTCGCCCTTGCCCGGTCATCGACGGACGCTCGCCGAGTCCGACCTGGATCATTGAGAAGCACAACGATGTCATTGCGTGTATCTTGACTGCATTGAGCGTGCTTCTGTGCCTCAGTATACGAGCGATCCCTCTGATCCGTGCAGTGGAAGCTCACCGTATTCAGAAGACAATGCTCGAAAGCTTCGAAGTTGTCTGTAAATAGAAATTAACCCAAGGCCAGACCATGAGCTGCACGAGTCGACTATCTCTGTGCAGGGTGACTTGCGCGTGCTCTATCGTAGCAAGTCAAATCGGATGTTACTGGAATAACACTGACCACGTCAGATGCCGCGCGCATCTATAGGCCGCCATGCTGGACTTCTTGGGAGAGGCAGCCTGTGTGTTTGCGTTGCATCGGTTCCGTGTAAAGTGCGCAGACGCAGGCTAGTCGCCACAACGCCTGTCAAGCGTCCGACGTTTAATTCGGCCTGTCGACGGATTTTCCAATCGACGGAATATGCCGCATCACCGAGTGCTCGGCCTTGCACATTTCTCCCCGAGACCGACCCTCCTCACGAAGCTCGCTCTGGAGTTACCAGAAAGGATAGCTCTGCGCTGTCGACCAGAAGTTTAAGCCTCTCTATTCTGTATATCTATTTCATTATGATTACCACGGCATCGAACATCTTTCAGGCTGCGTACTCACAAGTTCTACCAACGTTCTCTGTTCTAGTCTTGCCTCGTACCGTAGATCGCAATGACAGTTCGCGGCACCGAGCAGCAGCTTGGCAACAACAGCACACTCGAAGAGTTTCGGTGCCGGCGACGGGACTCAGGGTTAGGGTCAGGAGCCCAAATTGGCATAAAAAAAAGGCCCGCCCAGCCCGAGGGCCGAAGCGGGACAGGAAAATATTCCGACGGTGCATGAGCCGAAGCCCATACAAACCAAGGACACCCTCTGAATGGACAAGGTCGCCGTGCTATGGAGAGTTCCCAAGGCCCAGAGACCCTGGTATGTGAAGGGGCCTATGCCATCAAGGTAAGTATGAGGTGTTTGGGTGCGCGCGGCGAGGCTTTATAGTTGATGGCGTGCGCACGGACCAGGGCACGCGGCAGGGCGCGCGACGGCGCCCGGCGTGAGGCCTTGAGCTGAGGACGAGTAATGTTGTTTTCGCGGCCTTGGGAGATATATTGGGGCATCGGTATTCTAGTTGAACAGTGCTGACAACTCCAGCAGCGATGACATGCATTCATTTATTCCTTCCTTAATATGCCTCTCGTGCTACGTACGTAGACGAGGCAGATCGGTACTTACGCCAAATTAATACCCAACTCTTCAGCAATGATCAGCGCAGCCTTCTCGCCGATAGTGACGGCTGTAGAGTATGTGTTCTGCATTTCGTGAGGTCAGATATTACTGCGTCTTGACAATAGCGCTCGGATGCGAGACTCACGGCTGCAACGTTGCTCGGACAGATCGACACGTCTGCAGATTCACGAATACGATGGTGAGCACAGCACCGACCTCTGGAATCTAAGGAAGCTTACCTGCGACTTTGAGACCTTCAATCCCGTGTACGTTCAGCCTCGGGTCAACAACCCCACCGTCCTCGCGCGACTTCATAGCACAGGTGCCGAGCTGCATGAGCGCGATCAATATGAGGTCCTGTCGCTCGTTCAAAACTATATGGTGGACGTACTGAATGCCACGACGATCCAACTGCAAATAAGAATCAGCTCTTGTCCACCAGGAGCCGAGATGAGCAGACTCACTATTCTTCCTCATGAATAACTCAATTGCCTTGTCATCATTTTCCGTATATACGAGTCTCGCAGCTTCCATCGGAGTGGGCATCCCATCCTCAATGACCGCAACCTGGCTACCAGGCGGAAACTCTGGGTGCATCGGGGCGTATTCGCCGCGGAAGACAGGCATCCGGCGAAATATCTCTCGGGAGAACTTGTACCCCCACAGGAGCGGCTTGACGTCCGCCATGCTGTATGTCGCGATGAACTCGATGACCGAGGGAAGATTGCGTTGATAGACGCACCTTTCGAGGAAGCCTGACTTGAAGTCCAATGGGGTAGTTACGTCGTGTGCATCTGTAATGTGTACGTGTCCCCTTGCAACGGGATGAAGCTGCAAAGTTCCTGATGAGTGCTCCATAGTCAATTTGAATAGAAACCGACGTACATTAAATATCCCGCTGGAGAAGTACTTCCTCACTGGTGCATTGCTCGAATCGCCTGTAAACCTGCAATATTGATGAGCTTCGAACGCGTCCTGTCTGTGTATTCCGACGTACATCGCCATCGCCCCGAAGAGCAGTACCGGTTTGTCGGGCAAGTGGGCGTAATCGTCGTCCCAGACTTTGCGGAAGTCCGGCCCAATCTCTTCGAGCTCTTGCTCAGACGGTCGGATTTTGATGGCCGCATCTGCACCGCTAGTATTATGGTATCAGTGAGACTTTGTGTATCTGTAACCATGGCGCCTGGACCTACTTAGTCGCCATGAGGCCCGATCCATCCTTATGCCACCGATGTGATGTTTCTGTACGACCAACATGAGCTCCGACTAATATAAGAGAGCGGGCATTATTCACCGTCAACGACATCGGGATCGTTTCTGATAATTCCATCTAGTGTCTCAGCTTCTGGCGCTGCGTTATACACGGGGAACATGATATTGTGATCTATAAACGCCTGAGCCTCCGATGAACCGCAATTCACTGGAGCTATGCCACGCACCTTGATAATTCTCGCCTACGCCAGGGAGGTCTTCTTCGACCTTGATCCCGAGCGGCTCCAAGATGTTCTTGTTACCGATCCCAGAGCGTTCCAATATACCTGGAGACCCGAATGCGCCAGCGGCAACTACGACCAGGCGCTTCGCGCGCACAGTATGTACGATACTATCCGCATCAGGGAATAATAGGCGATTCCACTTGAATTCGACCCCAACTGCACGCTTATCCCTGGCATGTTATTAGTGAAACACGAAAATGCTTGGTCGGATCCGCGTACTCGATGATAACACGTTGGACGTGCACGCCAGTGACGACGTGCAGATCTGGATTAGTCTGGTTGTAGATGAAGTGGTGTGGCGCGTCCGAGCGTTTCCCGGTTTCGCCGTCAATCCACCTGATTGACAGCGGTAAAGTCAGTCAGATGTCGTACGCTTAGGCACTGTCGGCGGAGCTTACTTGGCGTACTTCTGTGTCCGATAAACGACCGATGTGTGAGCTAAGGGGCGTATATCGCTGAGGAACACCGAAACGCGAGGACGTACCGTGTAGACGTTCAATGTTACCAGATCGTTGGTCTCATCGCCCACCGTGCGCGTTGGATCGACTTGCGGCGCAACGTCAAGGAACTGCTTCCCGACGTTCGTGAAGCACCCGCCAAACGACACCTTCAACGGGCCGTCATACCCGTGATTTGGCGCGTCGCGCTTCGCCTGATACGTCTCCACCTGCGCATTTTTTGACAGATCGCGTAAGCCAGAAATAGACGCGGAAGCAGGCTGAGACGAAACGCACCTTCTTCAGCAGGGGAATCAGGTCTTTCGAACCCCACCCGGGGTTCTTGTGTGTCAGCTCCCATGCGTCGTAGTCAGAGGCGCTCGCGCGAGTGTACACAGTGACTGCCGTAGTTCCCATGTCATTACAAACATAGGCGAATGGAAGCCATGATGGCGCCCAACTTACAGTTCACACTCGAGCCCCCGCCGAGACATTGTCCGGTTGGCACGAAGAATGGACGGCCTGCGAGTGCCTCCGTGGGAGGCTCTGGATGGAAGCGCACGGTGGTCGACGCGGGGTGCAGGTGTGCTAGAAAGCGCGCGGGCTGTGTGTGCATGGATTTGTCTTTGGTATCAGGGCCGGCTTCAAGGACCAGTATCTTGAGCGAGCTCGTGGCCGCTGCGAGTCGGCCAGCCAGTACGCATCCTGCGGCTCCGCCTGCGAGAACGAGACGTTGGCGTCATGGGATAATCGTGTAGAAGGAAACGCACCTCCAGCAACGATAATATCGTATTCCTCGTCGACTGACGACTTCAGAGGGTGGTCCATTGGCTCAATAGCTACGGGATCCAGGTGAGATAGGGGGGATCTTTATAAGAGACTCATCTCAGCGCCAGCGGTTTGAGCATGTCCGAACCGTGCGGACATCTTAGAGTGAGTTCTAGTAGCCGGGAAATGAAAGTCAAAGTTTCATACGGCATCGATGTGGATAAAATTGGTTCAAACATGCACAGTGTCAGCTGTAGCTCCTATGTAGGCCATTTTGAATAGCCGGTCGAAGCAAGTTCAGGCATGACGCTACTACTGGCGATGCGAGTTGTGGCAAAGCGAGACCTTCGCTCGCACACTATGGCCTGGTGACCGCTGTCCGACGACGACAGACCGTGCGCTTCTCGCCCAGGAAGCATGTCTGGGTAACATCATAAGCAGAGCCACCCCTCCGATACCTGGACATATATGGGTTTTTGCTCACAGCTGACCGCGAGTGTTTCGCTGCCTATTCTCCTTGTTATGAAGAACGAATATTACCATTTCGATGATGACATTGACGAAGCCTGTATTAGTCGTATCTTTTCGCGAAAAGAGTGTGTGAGCGCTGTGCGATCTTAAAGCGTGGAGTGCAGCATGACCGTCGGCGGACGCGTACCAGCTTGCAGGTCCCTGTAGGATACTGTGATATTCTGCTCTCGACAAACCTGATATTAGCTTGGATGCAGGTCTTGAAACATTCTGTTTGTCGGCGGGACGTTCGTTGTAGATGACCTGTTATGGGTTAGGAAAGTCCGAAAGAGTCGATCGCTGGTGTCGAGATGGTGATATCGTTGGCACACTGTATTTCAGTTGAGGCGAAAGTTCAGCAAGCCCTCGTTGTCTAATGGTTATGACGTCAGACTTCTAATCTGGAGGTTGCGAGTTCGAGTCTCGCCGGGGGTATTTTTGCTTCTTCTGCAACCTTCTGCTAGATATCTCTTGTAATCCCAGTCCTTCGTGAAAGATAGAAAGAAAAGGCTAGGATTCTCTTGATAGAAAGGTGGTTCGTCCATGGAAATCATGTATGCGTTCAGCGCCATCGTGGGACATGACCACCTTAACAGGAGGGCTGCCAGTTCGAACCTCCGGGTAAACGGGTATATGTATTCGTCGCTTTTGTCTCTTTTATACCGCTGTCTTCCGTGCTTTAATGACCAGAATTCATTATGAGCTTTATTGGAGGCCGTGATATCCTCTGAGCTTTCGCGAATAATTGTTTTGAATGAAGTGAAGCTATGTTCGGAAACTTGCGCGGCCCGGCGGCTGACCTAGTATTCCGTTTTGCCTGCTACCACCACCTCCAGCCGGCAACATTTCTCTCTTGCCTTACACCACCATAATAATGTGCATCTTACACCAACTACACTAGAGCAACGCCGAGGTTTCCTGGTTCTAATACTGTGCCGGACACACTCAGTGACAGAACATGTCTTTTTCGTTCGAATGGCCCCGCTTTTCCGACCAGTTCCACGCCGATGCCATAGAACTGCTCACCTCTGCGTTAAACAAGGGCCCCAAGCCCCCCGTCATTGCGGACAAAATCGAGGTTGTTGAGCTGGAGATGGGTACCCAGGTGCGTGGTCAGCCGACATTTCCCTAGCATGTCTCTGAACACTGTTACAGCCGCCAGAACTCGAGATCCGTGACATCGGAGACCTTACCATGGATCAGTTCCGTGGTATATTTCGCCTCACGTATGCAGGCGATGCGCATCTTGTCTTGCGCACAAAAGTTCAGGTAGGTGCCCTTCACAATCGCCCCTCCGACCATTGCCGAGCCCTTTCCAGGCCAACCCGCTGAACCACAAGCAACATGATATTGATCTCATGAGCGGCTCTCGTGGTATGCTTGCTGCGAAACAACCCCTCGTGGTCCCCATGCTTCTCCGTCTCTCGCACATCCGCCTAAACGCGTACGTCGTACTTGTGGTCTCGCGACAGAAGGGCATCACGCTTGTCTTCAAAACCGACCCACTTCAGAACGTTGATATCAATAGCACATTCGACTCGATTGCCGTCATCCAGAAGTTCATTCAGCGCGAAATCGAGGGCCAGCTGCGCCAGATGTTCAGGGAGGACCTCCCCGGCATCATCCACCGCCTAAGCCAGCAATGGGTCAAGGCAACTGTCGAGACTCCGTATCTCAATAAGCGCCCCGCGCAGTCTCCGCCTTCTATCGCGCCATCTCGCTCGGTTGACCCAATGTCCATGTCGATGCCCACCCTTCCGTCGTACGTTCCTCGCTTTCCGCAGCTTGGCCCTCGTCCGCCCCTCGCATACCCTCATCCAAGTCCCGGTCTCGCCCTCGCTCCTCCCGCGTACCACCGTTCGCAGTCACCTTCGGTCGCGAGTACTAGGGGCACTCGCAGCGTGCGCTCACGTTCGCCTCCACCTCCTGCCCCCGACCCGCCAGACAGCGCATTTCCCGATATCGAGAACTTCGATCCGACTTATGGCCTGCGCCCCGAAGGTCTTCCTACGAAGAGCGTCTTCAATGGGTTTGGTCGGCTCTTTGGGACGTCCGCAACACGGGGGCTCGCAGATCTCGCGGAGGAGCCTGGCGAAGAAGACGTGGACGAGGGAGCTTCTTACGACATGATCGAGTGGGAAGATACTGTATTTGATCGTGCTACCCCCGCCCCGTCCGAGGTGGGTGATGACCGTGCCAGCGTCACCGAGTATGAGACCATTCCTGCGGTCGGCGGCGGGACCATCACGCGTCCGCGCGTCTTTCACTCTCAATCCCAAATACAATCACCCTCAGGCCTTCCTATGCGCCCATCACCTACTGCCTCAACGTCCCGTCTCTCCCTTTCTATCCCACAGACCCCCACTTTGCCTTTCTCCCACTCAGCATATTCTACCCCACTTTCCGCGCACCCTTACCCCCGCCGTGCCCAGTCTCTCTACAGCAATGCATACTTCCCAGCTTTCTCAGCTTTCCCACACTCCGCCTCCGCTGCTACCGCCATGGCTCACCCCTCCGCACGCTCGACACCTCCAACACCGCCGCTCTACCGATCTCCCCGCCGCCGTGCCTCTTCGCCCGATAGCATGCACACACACCTCTCTGCCTCCGCATCCGCATCTGCATCTGTCTCAACCCCGCCTACAACCGACCTCCCTGTACCCGTATCGCGCAAGCGTACTGCATCTGTCTCGTCTGTACTCGACCCTGAGGGCCCGACAGTTGTCCTCAACAACGCTGTCTCACAACTCGGGACGCTCTCACACTCGAACCACACGCTCTCGCCGTACACGCGCTCGCTCGAACACTTCACCGTCCGCACCGCCGCCCGCTCACGCTTCACACCGCCGGCGCCTGCCCCACGTCGCGCCACGCGCCGGCGAACGCACTTCCTCGGGAAGGGCAAGGGCAAGGCGCCAGAAGTCGTTCCGCCGGAAGAGGAGATCGACTTGCGGCCGGAGGTGGGGTCGGGCGCCGTGTCGCCCGCGCCGACGAGCGAGTTCGACGCGGGCGACATGGATCGCTATTTCCGGTCGCGGGACGAGTTCGAGCAGCACGCGCCGGCGGAGATGCAGATGTACCCTGCGCATCTGCGACTGCGGCATGTATCCTCGGCGCGGTCGCTGGCATAGTATCAGTGGGGGACCGGGTAGGTGAGATATCTGGTATCTGAGGACCTGATATGGTGTGGCCTTGTATCATAGGATCTAGAGGAAGCTCAAGCATAGACTCGGCGCGGATGGACTGGCATTGCATTGTGGCCCGCGATTTGTGGCTCGTGAGCATAATTTACGTTTACGACTCCTGCTACGTATACGACGTCGACGGCTCGATATTCAGCAGATATATGTAGACTTTTATCACTTCTCGTTCGTCGTGCAATTTTTCTTCCTTGTTCGAGTATCTTAGCATTAGTGTACGAGACGAGGCGCCGCTCTGCTCCCCAACTCAGTTCGCATTCACATTCGCATTCGTATCTGCATTGCATTTATTTCTCGTATTTACAGATAGGTTGATAAAGTACTCCGTACATACCTCTCCACGTGCTGCGGCGTCGGAGGGGAATTCATAGCTCCCTTGCCACAGTGCTGCGCCGTAGTGGGCTTGGCTGCCGCTGCTCTACTGTCGCCGTATAGTGAGCCTCCTTCTCTCTCTCCCGAATGTCTAACTACTCTCCCAGATTTCGCAGATACAGTGCCCCAATTGGCAGCAGTGCGATTCACTTTAGTTGGCGGGTTCTCCAACGACTAATCCTCACATCGCGCGGTGACCGAACGCTGATCCTACGCTGATCCTGACTCTGCGTTCCGACACGGACGTTCATCCCGATTTCTCTGCTCTGACGAGATCGTGTTAGGGGAGTTGTCAGAAGCAGATCGTAGCGCTAGTGTGATCTTCGTACTACGTCCCTTGGAGCGCAGCTGGTAGCGGGTGAGCCGTGAAAATTCACTGGTACAAGCACGATTACCTGACGGTATCTCGTTTGCTTATGACACTGCGCAGCCTGTGATCTGTTCAGAGCAATGGGTATACAGTCTGTGGTCGCCAGTCACTGTGCACCGACGGACCAGACCACGCTGCGGGAACTGCGACATGCACAGTTGACCGGGATCTCCGGCGCTCAGCCTCCCTACGGGCGAACCTGTTTAAAACACGCCTTACGCCGGATATCGCAGCCGCCACTGTGCGGCTAAGCAGCAGCGCGGATCCTGGTGTGCGGTGTGCGATAGCCATCGTGTTGTTTAGCTGAATTGTATTTGCAACGTCCGCAGAGCACGATAGTATTAAAACCCCAGGTACGAGGATATGTCCTTCATTCACCCCTTCCTCCCTGTGTCCACGAACTGTATAATCATCAGGCCAATGCACCACCCTCTCAAGCCTTCGGTGGACGAAGAATATGACATTGTCATCGCAGGAGGTGCGCCTACGTCGACTCGAATATTCACTCCAGATAACGACGATGATTTATCGTTTGTAGGCGGAGCCGCAGGTTGCGTTTTAGCGGGCAGACTCGCAGCAGCCACTAGGTCGCTCAAGATCCTAGTTCTTGAAGCTGGCCCCGAAACCAAAGACAAGGTCATCCATACGCAGCCCGCGCGCTACCTGGCGCATCTCCACCCCGCCGCCACCACTGTCCGTTTCCACGCAGAGCCGCCAACGGAGGCGCTTGCGGGGCGTTCGCTTGCGGTCGCGACTGGACAGTGTCTCGGTGGCGGGTCGAGCGTGAACTGTAAGTTTGTCGTCGAAGTGGTTGGTATTCTGTCAGGACTAATGGCCTTGTGAATGTGACAGTCGCTGTGTACACCCGCGCGAGCGCATCGGACTACGACGCGTGGGAGACGACGTACAACAACCCAGGTTGGGGTTCAAAAGACCTCATCCCTCTCTTGAAGAAGGTCAGTCTCTAGGCCCTGGGGCGATCTCATTTTGTGTGCTTAGTGGCTCTCAGGTGGAAACTTACCAAGTGATACCTAATGCGCTGAACCATGGATACGATGGGCCGCTGAAGGTATCCTTCGGTGGCTGCTTTACTAACGTCGGAAGGCAATTCCTCGAGGTCGCTCCTCGATTTGACCGATCGCGCCCGGCAGGCAGCGATACCAATGATCTCGTAACGCTGAATGCCTGGACGGTACGTCCTCCATGTCAGTCATTTCATTCCTTTGCTCACGTATCTATCGACATGAAAAGCGGTATGCAAAGTGAGCTTCGCTGATGGTCGGAATGTCGCGTGAGACATGACTGACTGCGCGGTCGCCCAGATGGATTGACAGTGAAAGTGGGAAGCGTTCGGACGTGCCACACCACTATATCTACAACCAGACAAACCCGAGCTTGCACGTCGTCACCGGTGTGCACGTTCAACGTGTCTTCATCGAGTGCGTAGATCACACTCAACAACGTCACGACCCACTCACACGACGCTCTCTATA